ATATATATATATATATATATATATATATAAAAGTAATTTCAAAAATTTTGTGAAAAGTTTTAAATTGCATGTGATACTCTGAGATGGGGTGTTACACGACTCGTGTTGAGTATAGTGCACCGATGCACGTAGTATCAGTATTTTTACTCGTTAGTCCTTAAGAAATTGAGGAGATAGCTCTAAAGTTGTGATGGAAGACAACTCAAATCACCTGCTATTAAGAGCAGGTTAAGATGATGCAATGCAAGGAACGACATTGGTTTGTGGATGATTTGACTATGATGTTAAGGCTCTAATGAAATATGTTTTTATGATTTATCATATTTTTGTGTTTAATATGAATATATTTTGTTATATGTTATAATATTTCTGCTTTGTCACCCTTGCATGTTTGTGGTGATGGTTTTCATATGTGATGATCGTACTTGTACGAAATAGATGGTGTTTCATATAAGACCAGTTTGAAGTAGCTGATGAGAGTTGGGACGGTTAAGTTTGGGGTTGATTATTTATTTTTCATTGTTTTAAAATTTTTAGACTTGGTACTTTTATGTAAAACTGACATTTCGATATTTTCGCTTTGTATGAGCGACATTTATAGTTATGGTTTTGCTTCCGCATTATAATCGAATAAAGTTTTTTATTATCTAAAATGAATGTTTTATGGAAATGTTTTGAGAAAAATTATATACTAGTGACATTCTGTTACGGGTGTTACACCTAGTCTATGTGCCAGTTTTGGACATAGGTGTAAACGGGCTAACTTTGTGGGTGACATGATGTATGTATTGGTAATGTCTCTATAAAAAGCAGTGTAGGTTTCCACAAGTGTACAACCTTATGTGATTTCGCATGAACCTTTCATCTAGATGATCAAGTCTAGAATGATGCGATGATTGAGTCTAGTATGATTATTGCATAATAATATGATTATTGATATGTGTAGTAACATATTTATGCATATTTTATGAATGATATGTTGCATGTTAGCTCACCCCTACTTGGTTGTATTGTGTTGGTATTTATGTTTGTATGATAATCGTATAACATGTGTGTTATATGAGAGTACATGAGGAAACAACGACTGATCCAATGCCAATAAAGAGAGAAGCGGGGGAATAGAAGAAGTATTTCTAGTCATTGCATGAGTGTTTTATTAAAAATATGTATTCCATGTGAACCTCTTTATATTTACCTATTGGACAAGTGTAATAATGTTACAACATGTTAATCATGAAGTATTAAGTGTGAGATAATTGAGATGTTAAAAAAAACATAAAATGCTTATTATTATTTTTTTCTTAATATCTAATTCACTTTCAATAACTCACCAACAAACATCAACTGTGAATAGACATGTTTGAAACTAGTTAAATATTAAAACCTAAAAAAGTTTAAAAGTTGAATTCACCCTTCTTGAACTTAGTTCCTTTTTTCAAGAGTTTTTCTTCGTGAAAATTTGAATTACAAGTTTATTCAATACATTCAAGAAAATAAAACATAATTTGTAGATTTTTTTTTTATGTTAATCATCATAAAAGTTTTCCATTTGAGTGTATGAAAAGTATGCCAAGTGACTTAGATTTATAACAGGCAAACAATTTCTATAAAACAAAAATAAAAGATGATGAGAAAAAGACATTTACGTTCATGTTAGTTAAATCTTGGTTTTCTAACTGAACATAAAGATAAAACTTAAATATAATTTTGGGATAAGAGGATTAAACACACGAAATTAAGATGAAATTGGAATTAAAAGCACTACTTATAAAAAAGTATCTTACTTTGTAATTAAGTGGGAAGTGCAAATGATAGTTGATGAGAACTCAATAAATAATAAGTAAAACCATAGATACCACTATTTTGCAAAACACAAATCATGCAAAACAATATAAGTAAGGAGGAGTATATTACCAAGGAATTATACAAAAGTTAGACCAAGCGAAACAAAGATGTGGTGAACAAAAACAAATACTCTTTTAATTGGTGGTCATATTTATGTTCGATGTATCAGAAATTCGGCACACTACCTTAACAAAAAATTATGAATTCCTACTATTTTATACTATTATTCTTCTAACAGTTAGATTATTAGACTTTACTAATTGAAGAACTTCTCTTTTATACTTTCATAATTTATCAAAAATAAAAGTCTTACCCTCCTTTTTTTTTTTTGTATAATTCATTCTATTATGTCGCTGTATTTCTACATTTACATAATTTAAGAAGCAAACTTTTAACTATATCAATTTTAACTAGTCTAGTAGCAATAGCATTTTTAAAAATCTAACTTCATTCATTATCCAC